CCCTCTTCAGACTTGTAAAGTAAAATGAAGCATTTTATAGCTGTAGTACCAACAGCTCAAGAGGTAGTTGAAAACCAATACTGGGGCATCGTTTCAATCTTTCTTTAAAAACGAAGCAAAACATACAAGCAAACAAAACCCGACTCATTTGCCTATAGACTAATTCATTTCAGGCACAGCTTAATGTCTTTCAGATTTGGGATAAATAAGCCTCAGCTAATTTGCCTGGTGCAATTATCTATTATTTTGGCAACTGCAGAGCTCAAGAATCTCTGAAACAATTGCAAAGCATCTTAATCCCCACATTGAAACAAGGGGGTAAGGTGCAAATCATAACACTGGATATTATAAACTCAGCTGCAGGAAAAGCACTGTAACTTGGAGATTTAGTCACAAGGCCTACTTCATATCCATTACAGGTAGGCCTGGAAGTTGCTGGAGTTAGTTTTACCAAGAACAGAAGCAGGGGTTTGAGTAGGGTCCCCACAATTAAGCTTTCTTCAGGTGCATCAACCATTCTGAATGCTAGTGCTGTTAGTGGGAGCACCAGTCTCCAATTTACCATGATCCATTGTTCTTGTTTCTGCAGAATGTGTTTCTGCCGTAGGTCTGGCCCAAGCAGTCTCTAGTACATCTGATATATGAGGACCTTTAAGAAAATGTCTGTGAATGGTAGAATTAAAAGATGAGTCCATTTTATTGCAAAAAGAATTTGGAATCTTTGCGAACCTCTTTAATAATACATATTTTCTGTAAATTTTTGAAGACTCCCTCCTATGTGTGAATTTCAAGAAGTTTTTTTATAATACACCAAACTCATCTAATTCCATTTTCCATTAATGTCTGAAGTGTTGTGTTATATATATATATATATGTATATATGTATATATATATATATATGGCACAGTTTCTGTCACTTAGAAGGCATTTTTTTTTCCTCAGAAAGGAAACCAATTCAGAGATCAGAGTCTGTGTGTGAGCACTCTAGTCACTAGATATGCTGTTAACATCTCTACATTCATGCCCACGTTTAATCATCAAGACAACTTCATGAAACAGATGCTGTTATTACCTACCCCCATGTATTGGATGAGGCAGCCTAAACTTAAAAATATAAATCGCTTGGCAAGGGTCACATTCTTAGAAAGACAGATGCAGGATTTGAGCCCATACTTCCTCCCCATCAATGCAGGTGATCATCACATAACCCAGAACTCAAGAGAGAAAACATAAGATTGCCACTGTCTGGATGCAGACTCTGCTTCCACCCTCCACAAACTCCTGCATGCCAAGGCCAACTTTATTTTCTCCTGAGATTTAACACTTAAAGTTCTTTGTGATTGAATACTTAAAGTTATCTTCTCTAAATATCCCTGACTCTCTTGACTCTTTAAAACTCTAGTGGCACAAACTTTTACTGTCCTCTCTCTTTCCTGGAACTTTCATCTTTCTACTCCCTTAATTACAAACAAAAGACCATTCCCAGCCCTGAGTTTCTCTGGATTTTACATCGTGCTTTGCTTCTTGATAACCCTCCACAACAAGCTTCTGCAAAATACAGCCTATCTTGGCTGTCTCCGCTTCCTGCCCTCCCTCCCACTTGTTCCTGTCTCCTGCAACGTGGTGACACCTGTTCCTGCAGCTCCAGCAACATCACTACTGAACTCACTAAAGAACTTTTAGTCATTTAAAGCGATGGGTACTTATATGGTGCATCCTCTTTAGTATTCAACAGTACTGACTTTCTTTTTTAAATGCTGTGTCCCCCTGGCTTCCAGAACACAACGTTCCCCTTTCTCTTTCCGACCTTGCTGGCTGCTCCTTTCATGAAGTTTCCATCTGCAACCAGCAGAGTTAGCATTTCACCCTCAGGCCTCTTGAGCAACTTGGTCATTTTCTGGGTAAAAAAAAAAAAAATCCATGAATACTTGCCCATCCACATATGCCGCAGCTTCTGCATTTTATCAAGCTGCCAATTGAAGTTCAACTGAAGTTTACTGTATCTCTAACTCCTTATTTCCCTTTCTTCCTTATTCTGTTTTGTCTGTCCACGTGAACACCTTTATCATACACTGAATTCTGAGTTATTTCTCCTCCATCAGGTGAAGACATGCCTAAAGTCTTTATCTATGCTAGATCTTTCCTCATCTTTCTGCTCCATAGCTGCTATCAATATACTTGCTCATATCCACTCCGTTTTATTTATTTATTTTTTTGGCATTTCTTATTATGAAACAATTTACATTTAATATATTTTACTCTTTGAAGTGTATAGGTAGTCCTATGAGTTCTGACAAATACATATCATCATGTAGGTGCCACACTATAATCAAAATACAAAACAGTTCCATCACTCCCCTCAAAATTCTTTCCTGCTCATTTGCAGTCAACTCCTTCCCTTGCTTGCAAGCCCTGGAAACCACAGATCTGTTTTCTATCCCTACAGTTTTCCTTTTTCTAGAATGTCATGTAAATGGAATTATAAAGCGTGTAACCTTTGAGTCTGGCATCCTTCACTCGGTGCAATAAATTCAAGATTTAATCATGCTGTTGTAAGCATCTGCAGTTCATTGCTCTTTGTTATATGGATGCACCGATTTGTTTATCTATTCATCAGTTGAAGAGCATTTACTTTGTTTTCAGTTTTTGGCAATTGTGAATAAAACCGCTATAAACATCCATGTTTAGGTTTCTGTGTGAACATGAGTTTTTGTTTCACTTGGGTAAATACCTAGGGGTAGGACTGCTGGGTCATAAGGTAACTATAGGATGTATTTTATTTTTTTTTAAACACAGGAAATTTTTTCAAAGTGGTTGGTCCATCTTAGGTTCTCATTGGTGATGTCTGGGAGCTCTACCTGTTCTGCATCTGTTTCAGCAACTAGTTTTGTTAGATTGATTCTCCTACTTTCTCCATCCTAAGGAATACAGGATGGTTCCTTCTTGAAGTTTTAATTTGTCTTTATCAATGTTCAATGGCCCTGACCACCATTTTTGTGAGCTTATTTGACAGTGATATATCCTCTTTGGTAAAGTATCTATTCAAATCTTTGGGCCCTGCCTTCTTTTTTTAACATGAGATTATTTTTCTGCTTCTGGGCTTGTAAAAGTTTGTATGTATTCTGAATGAAAGTCCTTTATCATATATGTTCTCCAAAATTTGACTCCCAAACTGTGGTCTTTTAAGAACTTTTTCCAAAAAAAAATCCTTCGATTTTGAGACAACTGTGGATTTACATACAGATGTACAGAAATGACACAACCACCCTTCTCCTGGTCTCCCACAATGGTCACATCTTCTATTACTACAGTGGAGTAGCCCTATCAGCAGGACTGACATGGATAGGCTCTGCAGCTTAACTCAATCTTACTTGACTTTCACCAGCGTTATATGCACGCTCTGTTGAGTTTTATTCTATGCAAAGCTGTCACATATGCAGCTGTCTGTGACCACTGTCACAGTCAAGATACAGAATAAATTCAGCACAAGAATCTCCTTTACAAGCATCGCCACCTCCCCAGTTCCCTGGCACCACTCATCTCCTGCTCCTCTCATACCATCTCAAGAATGTTACATATGGGAATCACACAGTCTGTAACTTTGGAGTCTGGCTTCTTTCATGCAGCAGAATTTCCCAGAAATCCTTTCAAGTCCCATCAGGAGCACCTTCCTTTTCAAAATCAAATCATACTCCACAGTTTAATTCCTTGCAACATCTGGGTCGTTCCCACTTAGGGGTTCATGCCAATACAAGTGGTGTGAACACTGAGGCAGAGGTTTTTGTGGGAACATGAGCTTTCATTTCACTGGGGTGTTGGAAATGCGCCAGAGTACTATGGCTCAGAGCTGGAGTTAGTATACCTTCGGTTTTATAGAAAACGGCCAAACTGTCCTGCAGACTGGCTGAACTGGTCTACACCATGCATCTCACACTGAACCCTCCCATCAGCATCTGGTGTCGCTGTTTTATTTCAGCCATTCTGATGGGGCCTAAGGACACCTCAGGGTGATTTCAATTTATGTGTCTCTGCTGGGTCATGACACAGAGAATGCCTTTAAGTGCTCAGCATCTTTTGAGAAGCCCATCTTTTTTTGGTTTTGATTATTGCTTTTTACTTACTTAAGACAGGGAGAGAATTCTCATCACTGATTACACTTCACTGGTGCCTGTCTTGGGCAGAGCTGGGCCTAGAAAGGAACCAGGAACTTATTCCAGGTAGCCCACGTGCATGGCAGCGACTGGATCAATCTCTCGCCCCATCACAGTTGTCTCCCAGGAGCTGCTCTGACAGGAAGCTGGATTTGGCAACTGGAACTAGGGAGCTAACTACATTACCTTGGTGTGCAATTTGGGGGTGGTAACCCGCTATGCTAACCATGGCCCCACACTTTCTGGATGTAACTTTTGTGTGGAAATCTCCCCCTTTCGCCATTCGCATCCCTTCTCAAACCCCAGGCCTACCCGAGTCAGAGCACAGCCCTTCGTTTTTGGCCGAAAATTCATGTCCTTCGTGATATGGTGACCTCCAACGAGACAAGTAAAGCTTGCTCAGTTTGGGGTCCACCTGCCTCCTCCCCTCCCAACCAGGACACTATCATAGATTAAGTGACATTTCTTTAACGAAAGAATAGCTAAAAAGCGCTGAAGGCACAGAGAAAAGAATGAGTTAAGACATAATCCCAGCTATGGTGACCCTCATGCCTTTAGGCACAGTTCCGGCCAGCCCTGTTGCCAATCCCAGATGACAGGCCTTTACCCTGTGCACATGCGCAGCACTCGCCGCTCGGTCCCGCCCCCTCAGGGTACCTTAGCCCGCCCCTCTCCGGCACGACCAATTAGGACGAGGAGGCGGAGTCCTGGCTGCCGCGGGGCTCCTTGGGTAGTGTCCCTAGTTACTGTTGCTAAGGCTGCGGGTCCCCAGAGCTGGTGTGAGGGTCACAAGTTGTGGCGGCCAGGGCTTGAGAGAGGTCAAGGGTCAGTGCAGAGCGGGGGGAGGAGATGGTGAATCAGACGATCCAGATTTTCGCGAGAGTGAAACCTTCTCTCCGGAAGCACCAGCAAGGGGTACGGGTCTGCAGAGCTTGCCAGGGCACCCAGGCGGCGGGGTCTCTGGGGTCCCGGGGGTGGGACGGCACGCGAGGGGGCCGGGCCGGGGTGGCTGGCTTCGGGGGGCCGTCCTCAGACTCGGGCGCAAGGGGTCCGGGGCGCTGACCTGCCGACCCCGGGGCCCAGCGGGGCGGGCGCTGACTGGGCCGCTTCGCTCTGAGGTGCGCGGGGTGTGCGCCCGCCCTCGGTCATGGGGCGCTGACCCGCCGACCCCCGGGCCCCGCGGGGCGGGCGCTGACCGGGCCATTTCGCCCTGAGGTGCGCGGGGTGTTCACTCGCCCTCCGTCAGGGGCGCTGACCTGCCGACCCCGGGGCCCAGCGGGGCGGGCGCTGACTGGGCCGCTTCGCTCTGAGGTGCGCGGGGTGTTCACTCGCCCTCGGTCAGGGGCGCTGACCCGGCTAGGACAGCACCTGAGGCGCGCGGGGTGTGCGCCCGCCCTCCGACCCGACAAGCCTGCCGCTCATCCCGCCGCCCGGCAGCTTTGCCCCCTCGGGTACCTCAGGGAGAAGGGTTCGCGCCGGGGCGCGGCGGGCGGGTGTTTGGACGGGCCTGAAACTCTCCAGGTCCGGTGGAGGTACACAAAGCGCAGACACAGCCCGTCCTTGGCAGGAATGTGTTGACTGGCCGCGTTGACGCGCTGCGCCGTAAACCTGATGGTTGACATACACTCTTTGTAGCCGCAGATGGGTGGCTAGATGATGCGTCCAGACACAAAGAACACGCGTCTACACCTGGTTCCAAAACGTTTGGCTTTTCACCAGGTGCTTCCTCTGGGGAGCCGACTTCAAAAGGGGGACAACATGTCGATTTTTGCTCTGCTCTGAGCAGAGGTTCCCTGTGTACTGGTAAAATGTTTCAACACACACTGTTTGCTCTGCCTTGAAGGGGACGTGGTGGTTCTTGGCGCTTCTTGAGAAAAGGCCCTGTGACAGTTGCTTTCACTGCATGGTTTCTGATTCTCCTGAGAAGGGCTGCGTGTTTTCTTCACAGATGAGGAACCTGAGATACATATTGTGGCCGGGGTATCCAGCTGCTGAGTGGCGGAGCTGTGATTGTAATTCAGGATTCTTTATTCCCAAGCCATGCCAGTCTCTCTTCAGACAAAACCTTCCTTGCCCCCTTAAAGTGAGAATTTAGGCATGAACAATTTGGACCATGGTTATGAGGGCCTGGAGTTAGTATTTTTAAAATACAGTTTAATCTCTGTCCTGTTTCTATGCTGTGATGTGTGTCCTTATACAATCTCACATGTAACAAGCAGATTATAACGTCTTTGTCGTTATCCTTTTGAGTCCTTTCACCAGAATACATTCAGGAGAATCGGCTTGAGAAGAGCGGAGAGGAAAATGTTGCCTTTTTAAAACACGATACAAGGGATAAAGCAGCGTAAAAAGAGCCATGTGTGCCTTCCCACGTTTCTCTCCACTTACAGTCACTTACATGAAGATTGTTTTAAATGCATCAGGTGGCGACAGTGTGTTCTATGTAACACGTCCTGCCAGGGGCTTAGCTCTACGTGTTGTGTTAATTTACAGTCAGCAGTCAGGAGCAGATGCTGGGCTCTGCTAAAGCGACAGGGTGGGTGGGTGTGGACTTGGGAGTGTTGATGGAGAGCATTAAGTGCTGAGGCTCTTGCTGCCTCTGAGAAATACAATGTTGGGATGGTTTGATGTGCTTGCTTCCTTGTTCCTTTCATGAATTTGTGGAGTGGGTGGTTTGATTCTAGGTGTTCTATTGTATTTTCGTAATGTCACAGTCTTAATGGAGAGGTGACCTGTGTCACTCACAACATGAGACCAGGGATCAATAAATGTTGGGTTAGAGTGTGTGTGCTGTCACTGGGAACCCCAAGCATTGTAGCTTGTCCGGGATTGCAGGGTTGTTTCTCCTGCTGGAAGTCCTGAGAATCATTAAATCAAAACTGAATTCAAATGTTTTCCAAATCTTATTCCCTCTAAGCATCACAAGTTGAAACTTGTGGGTTAGATGAAGATATGTAAAGTACGGACCCCTGATCATTTTAACCATGACAGTGCCTTTCATTCGAAGAGTGCTTTATCTCAGAAACATTTTCATATATATTCGTAATACCTACCTCAGATGATAAATATATTTATGACTAAAGGTAGAAAGCTAATATTTTAGACAAAACAAGGTTTCTGGCTCTAGAAACTTTTCTCAATATCTGAAAGAAGCACTTAATCAGAGTGGAGGGGGAGCATTCTTCCTATCTTAATGGTTTTTTTTCTGTCTGCGGTGCAGTAAGAGATGGATTTTTTAAATGTGTGACACCCTCCCCTCATTCCTGTATGTTTCATGTTTTACACACACACACACACACACACACTTCACTCACCTGACTATCTATTAATGAACATGTAGTATCCCAAAAGGCATACTTTAAAAACGATCTCCTGAGAACATCTAGCCAGAAAACCTTGAGGCTGGTACCTTTATTTTCTATGTATTTTTTAAAATTTATTTATTTTTCATGATACAGTTCCATAGGCTCAGTGATTTCCCTTTCTACCCTCCTTATTTCCCCTCCTCCCCACTGCTTTCCCTTATATTAGGGCAGTAGTAGAATCCTTCCGGACCTTCACGAGTCCATCATTCAGCTATTCAACTGTATCATGGCGTTGAGGTACAGACAATGATAGCATGTTCAGCATCCTGGATATATTTCGCTTCTCTGTATCATACACTTTCTCTGTGTGTTAGTCTTTGCACACGGTTTTAGATTGACTTCTTTACATGAAGCCTTTATGTTTTTAAAAGGCTGTGATTAAAACCCTGCTGAGGAAATGAGTCTTACATCCAGGTGAGCTAGGTAGGCTTTTACTTGCTTAGCAATATGACTTTCCCTCACTTACACCCCATCATCAAGTATCTAACTGGGTCTTAAACTGGAAATTTTCATCATTTGAAAAAATTTTATTTCCTAGTGAAAGACAAGAAATCTCCTGGGAAGGCGTTACAAAATACTTGCATTTTCATTACATCATTGGATCCCCCAGCAGTCCCGGAAGGGGAAAGGCTCTGAGGAGCCTGGATTGTGAACGTGATCGCACATCACACAGCTGGTCAGATGAGTTCAGTTCTGGACCCAACTCTTGGGAACCAAATCTTAACTTTTTGTCTTTAACATGACTTTTTTTCTTCTTTTAAATGAACTTGACTCTGAATTGTACTGGCCAATAGATAAAGGTGTACATAACCAAGAAAAGGACTCAAGCGTTCTGTTGTGAGGATTTTAGTTAAGACCCTCTATTCCAGTTTTAGCTTAGAGAATCTCAGTGGTTTTTCAGAGGTCAGTTGCTAATTAGTGGCTGGGCTGAGCAGAGTACCTTGAAAATAAGATCAAAGACATGAATTACATCTTTTTTTTTTAACCACATGTCTTTTATCAAGTGCCTGAATCTATTTCACAGAAGCCTGGGATCCTTTGAATATAATATGAATTACAGCATTCTTAGGAACTCTGGGAGAAAGCTCCCTTGTCCTAGTTCTTTTGTCTCTGTGTCTGGTAATTTGTGAATGTTCAGAAAAGCTGTGGGTAGTAGTAAAATGTTAATTTCTGATACACATTACAAAACAAGCAACATGTTGCTTCCAGGACTTTTTTTTTGCATGACAACATTAGAGACACCCACCAGCTCAGATGTGAATGTCAGTTAATTTCAAGATGACCCAGCTTAGATAGACTGTTGATTTAGACTTTGTCTTTTGTTCAGCTCTACATTCTTGTTTGAATCCTCACATGGTTCAAAGAACAAAATCGTTCTTTTGTTATGATTGCTAAAATTGTTCTTTCAAATGACTTTTGAAAGTACATTTTTCATACCGTAACAGTGTAAGCTGTAATAATACGGTCGTAGTTTAAACTGCACTTGTATCATGTGTAGTAATTTATCTTTATTGTTTGTAGATTTATTCTATAGACGAAGATGAAAAATTAGCAGCCAGCTTGGAAATTATCTTACCACGTGATCTGGCTGATGGATTTGTGAATAATAAACGAGAAAGCTACAGATTTAAGTAAGTGTAATTTTCCCCTCGTTCATTTCTATCTCAGTATTTCATGCTTGCACTGTGTAACTATCCACTATAAAGTAAGAAAGGCCCATTTCTTCTAGAGACCGTGGAGTGGCTAATTGCTTCAGTGAGTAGCTGGAGCTCAGGCTATGTTTATTTTCCACTGCTGTGCCCAAGGTTGAAGGGAAGATATTTCTATATTCCAGATCATATTCCAAGATTTCAGCTTTCCTTTCCTACTCCTACTTCTCTAATGTGATCCATTTCCTTCTCAGTCCGCTAGGGCTTAGCACTCAGCGGAAGTGCCAATGTGCTGCTTAATTGTAGATAAGAACTTACAGTGCAGTCTGTGTGCTGGCTAGGCCAGCCTCATGGGTAACGTAAAGGATATGCGGACCTCATATTCACATGTGTGCTTTCTTTGTCCTCTGCGACATAATAATGTCCCTCAGGAGCACTTGAAATGTGCCTCACTGAACATGAGATGTGTTGGCAAGTGTGAAATATATGAAGAGTTTTGACATGAAGACTTAATATCCCTTTCACCATGTAAAATATCTCATGGTATTTTTTATGTGCATTAATATAGGATTGAAAGCATGAGGGATATGATGGGTTAAAAGTGTGCTATCAGAGTTAATTTCACCCATTCTTTCTTAGTTTTAAAAAAAATTACCGCTAAATCATTTTAACTTACATAGAAGAGTAGCTCATAAAGCTTGAAGAAAATGGAATTAAAACGTGAGCTTGTTTGGGTGTAAAAGTTGGATAACCTATGCAGGTTTTTCGTATGATGTATTTTCCATAGGCTTGTTGAGGCTCCCTCATGTTTTTGGGTGACAGTAGATTGCCTATTAGCCAGCACTGACCTGTTAGGTTCTGCTAATAATGCTGCCTTTGGGTGGTCCCTACCCCTGGGCAGGGCTTTTAGTCTGAATGGTCTTCTAGCGGCCAGGCCTTGAACTGTGTCATTATGGCTGTTTCATTACTGTCTTTATTTTCTAGTTTGCGTGAAGTTATTATTTTTTAATACTTAGTTAACCTTTTCTTTCTGGAGAAATTTGGACCAAAATTAAATCCATATTTAGTCTTCCTTCCAAACTTTTGTGATGGATTTCAAGGTTCTGTTGAAGGAATTCTAATCCTCTGGTGTTTCTCTTCAGACTATTTTTTTTAAATCTGAATTTAAAGCTATTCTTGTCCTTACCTTTGGATAAAATTATCTCAGAATTTTTTTAATGACTACTACCATCATTCTTTTTATTTTTAAATTCTTATCTTCTTCTTTTTCTTGTCTTGTAAAGAATTCTTGATCTTTAAACTGCACCTTTTGTCTCTCCTGTGTATTCTCTGCCTTTACCCCATGTTCTTATTACTTTTCCTTTTATAGAAAGTAGGAACAAGATGAGCTTGTCCTCATGATTCCCCAATGCCTTTGGCTGCTGTATCCTGGAAGGTGTAGCCCTATGTATCAAGTATGGTTTACCCCCACTAATGTAGAAAGCATGCAGTGTACCTTGACAGCTGTGACTCTGACGGCTGGGGTCTTGGCCACTCTCCATAAAGCAGCAGTTGGCTGAATCATTTTAGTCAGCATGTTTCCATTTGATGGTTAAGAACAACTGGCCATGTCTCCATCCCATGACATTTTCCCAAATATCCTCAATCCAGCGCTTTAGACTGCTTGGCCACACTACCACATCTTTCCCAAATAGCTTTTACAGAGCGTGTGTCAACTTAGGCTTATTGAAAGAGTCCCATTGGCTGACTTTGTGCCATGGGAAAAATAAGGCAGGAAAGAGGAATAGGGGGCACAAGGGTGAGAGCTGGCCAAGGAGAAGACTGGTGGCCACATTGTATAGGTCAGTCAGGGAAGACATCACAGTAATGACAGTAATTGAGCAAAGGCTTGGAGGAGGTATGGCAGCTGGCCATCATGGTCCCTGAGGGATGACAGTAGAAAGAGTGAGCATGCCTGGCATGTTTGAGGAAGGACAAAGGGACTGGGTGGCTGGAGTAAGCAAGAGGGTGAGAAGAAGTTGATTGTCCAAAGCACAGCGGAGTGGCCACTCATGGGGCTACATCAGCCACTGTGAGGGTTTAGGCTTATCTCCCAGTGCTGGATTTTTCTGAGCAGAAGGATGAAACAATCTGATTTTTTTTTTCTTGGCATTTTCACTTGGACCAGGGTAGGAAGCTATGAGGATGCTGGGAAACAGTCTGATTCTAGATGTGTTTTGGAGATCCAAGCTGACAGGGTTTGCTGATTGGTTGAATGTAGAGTGCACTACAGAGAGGAGACAAGGATGGCGTAAAGACCTGGACTGAGGATTTAGGACGGAATTATCACTTCTAGGGATGAAAAGGATTGAAGAAAAAACAGATGTGGGATGGGAAGAGACCAGTGTCGCTGAGTTTGAAATGGAATTTTGGAAAAAGCCATACGATTTCTTACATAAAAGAACTTCCTAGGAATCCAGGAGCCCAAGCTGTTATATCGAGGTGTGTAACCAATGAGCTTCCGGCCCAAGAGTAATCACTTCATCTCTGTGGAATTCGACTTCCTCCTCTGAATGATCCAGACGGAATGTCTTAATCTCCTTTACAGCGCTGATTCGATTTCGCCCTTCAGTGATCTTCAGACGTTAGCTGATCAAATTGCCTTTCCAGATGATTATGCAATTGCATTATATAAAGCAGAGCATTCGGGATGATGATATTTGGTGTTTCAGATACAATTAGTGATTTACACTCTATTGTGGTGTTGAAATCTTCATTCCAGAATGTGTGAGGGAAAGCTGGCATGCAGGGGGACCTGGATGGCTTGTACTTACACAACCTGTTATTTTAAATAGTGGAGGTTGTAATTTTTCTCCAAGAAGTTTGATACACTTACAGATGCTCTACTAAAATTATACTTGAGTCTCATGTAAACCTTGATCAAAGTTTCTGGCACCAGGGTAGACTTCCAGCATGTGCTTGGGAAATGAATAGATGAGTTAGCAAATGAAGATGATTTAATCTTTGTGTGCTATGCACCTTGCAGAATATATTGTGCTTGCGGTTTGGTGCCATCTTTTATTCTTAGGTTCTTTAAGGTTTTTAAAAATTTATTTATAGGCAGAGTTACAGAGAAAGGAAGAGGAGGAATAGGAGAGAAGGAGAGCAAAGGCGAAATAGTGTGGAGTTACTAGTGGGAGGGAGGTCATCCATGTGCTGATCAACTTCCCCAATGGCTGCCAATACCAGGCCAAGGTCAGGGCCTTCTTTTAAACTCCTGCTGTCTCTTTTGATTACACGACAGTAGATAGAATTCCCTTTTCTTAAGTTATTGGAGTGGAAAATGGCTAATTGATTCACTCAGCTATCACAGACTTGCTAAGAGAAGCCATCCAGCCTTCTCACCATTCTTCGTCAAAAGCACAGTCCAGTCTGCTCAGATGTGATCCTGGACCATGCTCCAAAGAGCAGGTCAGCAGCTGTGTGTCAGGTCAGCCTCTGATGGCAGATCTTGTCAAAGCCATACAGCTGATGGCAGATCTTGTCAAAGCCATACAGCTGTAGAATGGTGAAGAGTGAATCCTGAAATACAGCTCGTCTGCTAAATGTCTTAGATGACCTCTCAATATACTTCATCATTTGCTTCTCTGAAATGGATAGGAACATTGGATAAGGACAGTGAATTTTATTTCATATTCTACTCCCCATTCAGCTTCAGACATCCTTGTAAACTCCTCCTTAGTGATTGAATACATGTCCAGTTTACTTTGTTAAGCAGGCATGTAGAACAAACATTCCTAGGTCACTCTGAAAGCTGCTTATGATGCCCTCAAGTATTTGTCTTAAAGTTTCTCAATTGATTTTAAGTTGGAAAAAATAAAAAGAGGTACTGTACAGATACAATGAAGCAATATCCACTGACATTCCTAAACCCTGCTGAGACTTACTTTTTGTTAACCTTGCAGCACATTTGCTCCTCCCACTTACCACCCCATCTCTCTTATCCTTGTGATGTTTGGATGGGGTCACACTTGCTGGCAGCAGCTTACCGTACTGTCAAAGGGAAGATTGTGTCCACCTCAGGTATTCCACTGGGCCTGTGATTCTGTACCACACTAAGGCAGAGTGGTATTGCCATGAGAGTGAAACTGACACCCAACCACCTTCCCATGACTCTGACCCTGGCCAGTCTGATACAAATTTCTCTTGCAGGGTAGATCTACTTTGATTTATTCTTTTGGCCTCTGAGTTATGATAAAATTAAATGAAATAAAATCATGTAAAAAGCAAGTGTTTGATGGTGGGATGTGGTTCCTGGTTAGTAAAAAAAAAAAAAAAAACAACTTAAGTGGAAAACATTAAAAGTGAGTTCAGTGATCACATAATTCGCAGATTCACTTACCCTGGACCTGATATTAGACATTCTTTGGCTGTTTACATCCCCTTCTTGGGTTTCCATTTCATGCTGTTATCTAGATTTCAATTTGGTGCCAACTGTAGACACTGTCGCTCTTGAGAACTAAAAAACACACAGTTTACTATTGGTTCAAAGCTGCTGCAGTTTTTCAGAGAGATTTATTGTGCAGATCTTGTCAAAGCCATACTGTGTACCCAACATTTGCGTACTGGAGTACAACAGCACAGTGTGGCTGGGAGTACAAAGAAAAACATTGTGTTAAATTAGGTAAGCCCAGTGATGTCAATGTGGAGTAATTTACAAAGCTGTCGGGAATATAAGATGTATTAATCTAGTAGTGTTGGAGGGCTCAGCTTTGAAATGATTGTCATTTTTCATGTTGCAGATTTCAAAGGATTTTTGATCAGGATGCAAACCAAGAGACCATCTTTGCTAGCATTGCCAAGCCAGTTGCTGAGAGGTAGGCATTTCTCGTATTTTCTTCACTACATTGAAGGTTTCACATCTCATCTCTAGTTCCCAGATAATCCTGATAACATGCTTCAGGATACAAGGTGTGTCATGATGATAGTGTTCATACCTTCTGTTCATGTTGCCATTTGTTTGAGATTCAGATTCTGAGCATCTGAGCAAGCCAGAGAGGCAAGCAGGTTAGCTGTGATTACTCCCATTTGAAAAAGAGAGGCAAAAAATAAAGACATGCAAGCTGAGGCATGCAGAGACTAAGTGACACTGCTTGGGGCTGAATGACTAGTGGTAACAGAGTCTTAGATGCTTTTCTAGCTTTTGGGTTCAGGGCAATATTTCAGTTATGTGGTTAGGTGGACAAAAGGCCACTCTTGATGTTTGGTCCTATTCTACTTCAGTGTCCTTCGAAGCTTGGCCATTGGTCTCTGGGTTCCTTGGCTTCAATATATCCATAAAGTTCCAGACTGTTGACTACTGAAACCAAAGCCATTTGGGAATGCAAGCACATCAGAATGCTGGTTTATTGGCACGTTAATATACTGACAAAGCCTCCTTGGGGCTGAACACCTTAGCTAAGTTGGTAGGCACCCTGTCCTCTTGTAGGGTATCTGCATGAGAAATTACTTCTTCATAAGGTCACTTCCTGATTCTAAAATCATTTGGATGATCTTAATGGCCTAATAATCCCAAGATATATCCATCCATGTAATTAAAATGAAAAACATCTGCCAAATGGACCAAATTTTCAAATCTTATTCAGCATACCTTTTCTGATGGGTGCTGCTAGAAGCCCATTGCCGTACTGTGTCTCTCAGATGCCTGTTTTATAGATCTTCCTCAATTCCAGCCCTTGTCTCTCTTTTTTAAAGAATCTGTTTTTGTTGGAAAGTCAGATGTACAGAGAGGAGGAGAGACAGAGAAGATCTTCAGTCCACTGATTCACTCCCCAGGAGACTGCTAGGCCTGGTGCTGCACTGATCCAAAGCCAGGAGCCAGGAGCTTCTTCTGGGTCTTCCACACAGGTGCAGGATCCCAAGGCTTTAAACTGTCCTCAGCTGCTTTCCCAAACCACAGGCAGGGAGCTGGATGGGAAGCAGGGCAGCCACAATTAGAACCGGTACCCATACGGGATCCTGGCACGTGCAGGGTGAGGACTTTAGCTGCTACTAGGCCCAAGCCCTTCTCTTTTTAAACACAGTCTTCTTTCATTAAGTCAAATACTGTGGAACATGCTCAGCCTCTTTGAGTTGTAAAATCACAGCCCAGGAACACCTTTTTAGGCCTCCTTCTGGTCTCCCAGATTGAATGCCAAACGTTTCTCAAAACATCTTCTCTTTGACGATCATTTGGATTATGTCATTTTTCACATAACTAGTCTTCATGCGTTTTTACTTTAGAAACTTCCTGAAATGCTGCAGGACAGGGACCTTAGTTTCTGTTACATGGGGCTGGGATTTTTTTCTCCCATTGTTGAATATCCACCCTGTCTGCACCTCGCTGGCTTCTGCAGTCACTGCCCCTCTTCCTCAGCTTTCCTTGATAGAAAAGTTGGTCAAAATGATTGTGTTCACAATTTCACTTTTTCTCTTGGATGCTGCTTTTATCAGATTTTAGTTCCCGCCACTCAGTTGCATTTGTTTTGATCCAAGGCAGCGTTGGCTCCTATTTGCTAGATAATTAGCCCCCTGGTCATTTGTTATGTTCCCTTTGCGGCATGGTTGATTTTCCATTCTCCTTGAACAATTTTGTTTCCTTGGCATCTAAGATATTACTTTCTTCAGATTCCCCACTTACTCCTCTAGCCACTCCTCAGCTGATTTACTTGGCTTTGTTTTGTACAGTGACTGCTTGCCCATGCTGTTCTCTGCCTTCAGAAATCTATGGCTGCTTCCTGAGCAATCACATTTTGGCTCGTGCTTGCCACTTTCTCAGCAAGGCCATCCTTGACTGTCCTGTTGTTGAAAACTACATACCCATGACCCTTTCCTTTTCTTTCTTCTTTGTCACTATCTGAATATTATGTAGTATTATTATGTACTAAGGGTTTTTTTTTTCTCTTGGTCTTGCTTTGTTTGCTGATTTGGCAAAGAGGCCCAATTCAGTGATGGCAAGATTGCAGAAAAGATAGGCAAAATCATTCTTATCCAAGGCAGCTCAGGTGGGTCTGATCTGTCGTCAGTCAGCTATGTCCTTTTAATTACATTTCTTCTTGTTCATCCCCCTTTTTTTATTCTCTAAAACTATTTTTTTTTTCTGGTAGCCCTATCTGGTTTACCTTTCTTCATCTCTTCTTTCTTTAAGAGTTTATTTTTATTTATTTGAAAGGCATAGTGAGTGAGCGAACATGAGCAAGGGAGATATGTCAACCATGGATTCGTGCTGCATAGACAGGGCTAGACTGGCTGAAGCCAGGAGCTGGGAACTCCCTCTGGGTCTCCCATGAGGGGGACAGCAAGCCAAAGACACGCTTCATCACCTGCTGCCTCCCAGGAAGGCTGGGTCAGAAACAGGGGCCGACTTTGAACCTAGGTGCTCCGATACGGGATGCCTGCATCCCAAGCAGAGGCTTAGCCTCCTGTACCACTATGTCCATCCTCTTCATCTCTTAATTCAATTGCCTTGTGACATTTTGTTTTTAAGTATGGGTCTGGAGGGACCTGTGCTGTGGCCCTGCAAGCTGGTCATCTGCTCTGTGGTTCTGGCATCCCAGACCGATGCCAATCTTATCCCCGGCTGTTCTACTTCTGCTCCAGCTGCCTGCTTATGGACTGGAAAAGCAGCGGAGGATGGCCCAAGTCCTTGGGACACTTTACCCACATGGGAGACCCAGAAAAAGCTCCTGGCTCCCAGTTTCAGCTCAGCTTAGCTCAGCTGTGGTCTTTGCTGTCATTTGGGGCGTGAACAAAGGAGGACTTTCTCTCTCTACAAAATCTGCATTTCAAATGTTAAATAAATAAATAAATCTCTTAAAAATAAAGTGTGGGTCTTGTAAATAAAACATAGCTGTCATTCACCTTTTAGTATATGCACTGCTGAAGCGAACACAGTCACTCACTGTTTTACCAAGCCAAAAGTGCCTGACCTTTAATTGTCTACTTTAACCTGTTTATATTTATTGTTATTACCATAACATTTGCATCCATTGTTTCTGTTTTACTTTTTTCACTTACTATAATTCCTTTTTTTTTTCTGTCTTGCTTATGATTGGTCTGTGGTTTTGATTTGCATTGTTACTGCTTGCAGTTTCCTCTCTGTGTTACATTTCAATGCTTGCAGTTTAAGTTGAGATATTTAAACTTGTGTTTATCCCAATAGCTACAGTTTCTTTCTCTTGCTCACTAACTCTGCCTCTTTCTTCCTCCCTTATCTATCTCCTTCTGCTGGTCTCTCTTCTCCCTCTTAAGCACCTTAACAAATTTCTGCTTTAACTGTCCTGTGCTCCCATCTCCTGCAGTGTGGAGATTGAGTGAGCATTTGTCCTGGATTGGCGTTAAACATTTTTGTTAAAAACATTTATTTATATTTATGTCTCAGTTATGCCTGTCTCTTTGCCCACTGTTGTTTCTTGTACACATTTGTATTTAAAGATGTATTTTGTAATAATCATCGTTTAATGGTTTTTACAGACAGATTAGGACTGAAGAACTTTCTGAAGCCTTTGCTTTCTTGCACATTTAAATTACAGTTTAAGTATAGAATTCTAGAACTCCTTTTCTCTCTTATTTCTGAGGAGAAAATACCGCTCGCTCTATTATCTTTTGGTATACAATGTTTTTGAATATGTCAATTTTTTTTTCTTTTTAGAAACACTGATTTTTGGTTTTTATATGTCTTAGCTTTTCTTTTTTCCTTTTTGTAAAATTTTGTATTTGTGATTAGAGGTTTGGATTTTTAAAATATATATTTTCTATCTTGTTAAGCCATTTCTAGCTGAAAATCCTGATGTTCACAACCAAGAATTACCACATTGAAAACTTCTTAATTTATTTACATCGAAATGTATCTCTCTTTTCTTGCTGAAACTCCCAGTTCTACAACTAACACTTCTATCCTTCAGATACTTTAATTCTCCATTCCTGATTCCTATATCTTTGTCCTTTGCCTATGAATTTTGGAAGAACTTTTCAGCCTAGTGCATTCTGCCCTATTGCCAACTTCTGACTTCTTTATTTTTACCATCTTATTTTTCATTTCAAACATTTCTTGTTTATGGATGTGATTTCTTCCCTTTCTTTCTAGAAATACTTTTTATCTTCTTTTGAAACATTGCATTTGCTTCCTCTCCCCTTGTTCTTGAAACACACATTCTACTGTTGAGTTTGATGCGTTTTCTAAGCAGTGTAGAGTTTCTTGAACTATTTGGTGATCGCTAGCGATGGACTCAGCTCACTCATTTGGGAGTGCTGTTGTCTGAGGGTGCTGTTTCATTAACCTTGGGGTACTCACTGTACGGATTGTATGAAAATGATGCACACATGTGCTGTGGGCTCGGGCGCTCTGAGCTTCTCTGTTGGGTACCAGGCACTCTTTCTCCTGGTTGTTAGCGCTCTGGTTCCTGCCACTAATCCAAGTTTCTATTCTGTAGAAATGTGTGCTGTGACAGTTTAGATAGACAGATGGGACAGCTTCACATTTTCCTGCAACTCTGAAGGAGAGGGTTATTAAGTAAATTAACATGGTAAAATTGAGAGCCTGAGGAGAGAATTACTTTTGTCATTGACTTTAAATATGTCATATACAGTATGTTCACATTTTATGCAAACTTGAATGGGGCCTCTTTGAAATGGTCAAATGTTAAATATTAAATTCTCACTTATACACATTTGAAATAATATTTATCGCCATAAATTGAAAGTCAGTTTAAGACTGACATAAATGACATAATGGAAACTGTACCATTTTAGATTTTAAACATAAATGCCTGTGCCTGCTATTCCTAGGAAACATTAGACTTTAGAACTTTTTGCTCAACATAAAATCTAGCCATTCTAA